AAGACTAGATGCTTAGTCTGCTTTTGGATGGTACTAAATGGGTGTTCCTAGATGGATCCGGAAGATAGTTTACATAAGGAACCGGCGCTTCTTAAAGACAGGTCACAAGTACCATGCAAATTGTACCTAAGATACTATGGCAATATCCCGAGGATGAACCCCCCTCCGAGAGAGGCGTCGTAATGGAGAACATGTGTTCGAGAATGGTCCAAAACATACACGTCGTCTATGGAAAGAAGAATCTGGATGGAACGATCGAGATAGAAGCACACCTCCCATCGAAGGCGTACCATTCAAGAAACAATCGATCTTCTTTCGATTACACCTTTATTGGCGGACTTGGAGGTCCCCCATGCCATTGATGCAATGCACGTGTAGAAGAATATCTTTGAGAGTCTCATGGCTACCTTGATGGACACGGGCAAGTCAAAGGATGGTCTCAGATCACGGAAAGACATGGTGCAAAATGAACGTGATGCGAGAGTTTTGGTCGATCTGACAAGATAATGGCAAGTACAGTCTTCCCGCGGCTAGCTTCAACCTAACCCTAGAGGAGAGGAGAGCTATATGCAATTTCCTTAGGGGGTCAGAGTGCCGACTAGGTTTTCGACGAACCTGAAGAAGCTAGTGTCGATGAAGGACCTATCATTAACATACTGCAAGGCTCACGATTGTCATGTGATGCTGACAGTGTTCCTACCAATTGCAATCAGAGCTATAAAGCCAGAGTTCCTAAAGATGGCCATCACCCGCATGTGCTACTTCTTTTTGAAGATCTCACAGAAGACGATTCACAGGCAAGAGCTGAGTGACCTATATGAATTCATGGTGGAGACCCAGAACAAGCTAGAGATGTGTTTACCTCCCGCTTTTTTTGATATAATGGTACATCTCATGATTCACCTGGTTCATCAGATCGAGGCGCTAGGCCCTAGCTTCTTGCATGAAATGTGGTCCTACGAGCGGTTCATGTCAGTTCTAAGCCGACACGTGCATAACCGAACACACCCAGAGGGCTCCATGATAAAGGATTACAATTCCAAAGAAGTCGTCGAGTGCTGCCAAGAGTGGCTAAAAGTACAGAGAGGGATTGGTAATCCCGATTCTCGTCACAAGGGAAGGCTAGCTGGGAAGGGCACAAGTGATAGGAAAGTGTTCCTCGACAATGATTACAGAGAGGTGAGTCAGGCGCATTACAGTGTCTTGCAGAGTATGACAGTGATGCAACCATACATTGATGAACACATGGCTATCATTATGGCCGAGAGGAATGGCCGTTCAGATGATTGGGTCATGAAACAGCATAAGCAACACCTGACATCATGGTTGAAGGACCAGAACATATAGCCTAGAGAAACCATAGATTCTATTACCATCACCGTCGGTTGGCGGTCAACCATCAAACAGTGGCGTCTTGGAATGCCTATGACATCAATGGGTACACATACTATACCGACACAAAGGACGGAAATCAATGAATCGAATGCAATGGCGTCCGAATAGAGGCTCTCAACGGAGTGGGGCGAAAGGTCCTGTACTTTGGCATAATTGAAGATATATGGGAACTTGACTATGGAAGGGATATAAAGGTGGCCCTGTTTCAATGCCACCGGATCAAAGCAACATCAATTCAATGAGATCGGACAGAGAGTCGTCGACCCTCCGAGAATGTAGGCTACCGGGATGACCCTTGGGTCTTTGGTGACGTGTCACGCAAGTCTTCTATATGCCTGACCCGCAAAGAACCTCCCCCCAAAGAAGAAGACAAAGCACGTGGTGGCCTTCGGGAAACAATATATCATCGGAGTTGATGGCGTGGACGATGTTAAAGCTTACAATAAGTGTGATGAGATGCCGCTATTCACGGACTTTTGTAAGAAGATCGAGACTATGGAAAAGAACCTGCCCAAAGATGTATTGCCATGGGAACGAAAATGTGTCAAGGGGAAAGTTGTCACGGTGGGCTAGCTAGTTTATGTAAGTGTGTCAGTGTTCGTAAGACTACATTCATGTATGTGTGTGTGAGACTACATTTATGTATGTGTGTGTGAGACTATATTCATGTATGTGTATGTGAGACTATATTTATGTATGTGAGACTACATTTATGCATGTGTGTTTGAAACTACATTTATGTGTGTGTGTGTGCTTGAGACTACATTCACGTATGTTTGTGTGAACAATGTGTACTAAGAATTTATCAAATTATGAAATTACCAAAATAAAAGTTGTAGATCTCCATGAATTATTCAACTTTGGTATTCATTACTTTTTTCAGTTGAAATGATTTGGGGGTCCAAATTATGGTTTCAACTTGTCTTTTTTCAAATTTCAAAATTTGAAAGGTTCAAATTTAGTAAAATGACAAGATAACCAAAATAAAACTTGTAGATCTTGATGAGTTGAACAACTTTTGTATTCATCACTTTTACATCTATAATCATTTAGGGTTTGAAAATTTGGTTTGAACTTGTCAAATTTCAAATTTTAAAATATGTAAAACATTGTCACATCCAAGTTTGATCAAACTTAAATGCTGAAGCATGATTTTAGAAAATTTTAGAAAAAAACCATCACATTTGGAGTTAGTATGAGGGAGAAAAACTAGTTACAAAGTTTACCCACAGATTAAAAAGAGAAATCACACTGTTCTAGATAATCCTTACGTGATCATAGTGAACAGTGTGATTTCTTTTTTTAATCTGTGGGTCAACTTTGTAACTAGTTTTTCTTCCTCATACCAACTCCAAATCTGATGATTTTTTTCCTAAAATTTTCTAAAATCATTCTCTATCAATTTATTTTGTTGGTTTTGTCAATATATACATATGAAAAGTTTGAGCAATTTAAATTTTGAATTTCAAAAAAATGCAACTTCAGACAAGATTTTGATACCCCAAATGATTTCAGCTGAAAAAGTGATAAATACCAAAGTTGAATAACTCATCAAGATCTACAACTTTTGTATTGGTGATTTCTTTATATGATAATGTGGTAATGACATTGTTCATAAATGTGACATATCTCTCATAAGGTTTTATAAATTATATGAGACATGTGTAAGATTAGTGAACAATGTGTGCTAAGAATTTATCAAATAAAAAAATGACCAAAATAAAAGTTGTAGATATTCATGAGTTTAACAACTTTGGTATTCATCACTTTTTATGTTGAAATCAATTTGGGTCTTAAATTTTGGTCCGAACTTGTCATTTTTCAAATTTTCAAATTTGAAAGGTTCAAATTTTGTCAAATGACAAGATGAATAAAATGAAAGTTGTAGATATTAATGAGTTGAACAACTTTGATATTCATCACTTTTTATGTTAAAATCATTTTGGGTCTTAAATTTTGGTTCGAACTTGTCATTTTTTAAAATTTCAAATTTGAAAGGTTCAAATTTTGTCAAATGACAAGATGACCAAAATAAAAGTTGTAGATCTTCATGACCTCTACAACTTTGATGTTTATCAAATTTTCATTTGAGATCATTTGGTGTCTCAAAATTATTTTAATAGTTTTGATTTTAACTTTTTAAAATTTAATTTTCCCCATTTTTAAAGGTTCAATTTTACAATTTTAAACTGTTGTAGTTGTTTTAGTTATTGTATATGTAAATATATCTATAAAAAAATAATTATAAAATTTTGTATTGTATTATTTATTATTTACATGTGAATAATTAATTTTGATTTAAAATTTTGAAAAAAAAATTCAACTATAGGGGCGGCTTATAACCTCAGCCGCCCCTACAGCGGCTCTGAGGTATTTTGAAAAAATATTCAATTGTAGGGGCGGCTTATAACCTCAGCCGCCCCTACAGCGGCTCTGAGGTATTTACATGTACCGCCAGCGCCGAAATCATACACTTTGGGCGAAATCGAACAACTTGGACCGTCAAACTGCCCAATTTCACCGCCGGCGCCGCTGCACCGCCGCACCTGCACCGCCGTCGCCTGCCCCTCCCTGACCCCTCCACCGCCTCCTCCACCGTCTCCCTACCCCCAACCGCCGTTCCCCAGGCCGCGACGGCGGCTAGGGTTTGGGAGCGCTCCTCAGCGACGGCGAGCAGCTACGACTGCTCCTTCAAGGTCCTGCTCATCGGGGACTCCGCCGTCGGCAAGAGCAGCCTCCTTGTCAGCTTCGTCTCCGCCGCCCACATCGACGACGACATCGCGCCAACCATAGGTACGTGCGCATCCGTTCCTCCTGTACCCCGGTGGATCTCACCGCTGCGTGACTCGTGTGCGAACTGCCAAGCGTGGCGGCTTGTTTGTCTCGATTACGGAACACGACACGACAACAATAGATTTTTTCTTTTTGTCCCAAGCGGAGAACTGGAGGTTACTACCGGGCCGCGTTGCTGTTAGCCAAATGCCCCTTTGATACAAATGCTCTTGCAATTTTTGGGCCGGGGTGAAGGGATGAATTTCTTATTTTCTGTTAGCCAAATGCCCCTTTGATACAACCTGCTTGTTTCAGAACTATCCTTGCAGTCCCCGAGGCTATCAGTATTCCCACTAGTTACTTGAATTAGCAGAATAACTATTATGTGATGCATCTATTTAGATTATCACCATCAGTATTCTCAAGCTTAACTGATGCTGCAGTTTTATACTTGAATAATGGGGCAACCTATTATGGTTACAGCATCAGTATTTCACTAGTTATAATTGAATAATGGAGCAACCTATTTGTGATCAATTAAAGTGCAAGCAGTGACTATCTGATCTGGACACATAGATTGTTGGAGTTAACAGAGAAATAATCAGCCAGGGCAACTCTCCCAGGCGACTGCATTGCAATATATAGAGGATAAGTACTGCATTGATTACATACAGCTCACTAGAGCTTTAACTAGACAGAATATCTGTCTGGGTACCCGCACAACTCTTGGGCTACCCAAGGACTTAATGACATAGATTAACTAAAAACTTAAGTACACTAAATGTGCCTGGGAAGTAGGGCTTACAGCTACAGTTCTCCCCCTAAGACCTGCTTCAACCCTTCTTGATCTGCTTGATGCCAATTCTGCTTCTCATATCTTCAAGCTTGGCCTTGCCCAAAGTCTTAGTGAGAATGTCTGCCAATTGATCAGCTGTAGGGATGTACTCAGTCCTGATGCTGCCTTCTTCAATACAATCCCTGATAAAATGTTGCTTAACTCTGATATGTTTGCTCCTGTCATGGAAGACAGGGTTCTTAGCAAGTGCAATTGCAGACTTGTTGTCAACCCTCAGTTCCACAGTCTCCACCTTTCTTCCCAACAAATCAGCCAACAATCTTGACAGCCACAGGGCTTGTGTTGTTTCACCAAGTCATAGCCACATATTCAGCCTCACAACTAGACAAAGCCACCACCCTCCGCTTGATAGATTGCCACCGACCAAGTCATGTTGCCAAAGAAGAACAGACAACCTGTTGTGCTTTTGCTGAGTCAATATCACCGGCTAGAGTCGAATCACAGTAGCCCACAAACCTAGCAGAATTTGGGGCTCTTTTGAACTGCGCAGACCATAGTCCAATGTTCCACCAAGTACCTCAGCACCCTCTTGACTCGCTTGCTGGTGCTCGATGGTCGGTTTCTCCAAGAATCTGCTCACATAGCCCAATCGAGAAAGCCAAATCAGGCTGGTATGAACCAGTATCTCAAGCTTCCAACCAGCCTCCTATATACCGAGTTGGATTCACCTCCTTGGCGATGCTATGCTTGCTTTGAGCTTGAGCGCTCTTCCATTGGTGTAGGCTGCTGGATTGCAATCGGACATGCTTCCCGGTTCTAGGATTTTCTTGGCATAGTGAGTCCGCCTCATGGTGGTCCCATTCTTGCCTTGTCGCACTTCAATGCCAAGGTAGAAACCGAGCAAACCCAAGTCACTCATCTCAAAGGTGGATTTCATCCTTTCCTTGAAAGCCTTTACTTCATCTTTGATCGCTCCAAAGATGATCGGATCATCAACATAGACCCCAACCAAAGAACACCGAGCCCTCTGAACCTTTCCTCAGAAATTGCTTTGCTTCATGTTTGCTCTGTTTTTGACCCCATTTCCTTGAGTAGTAGAGTCCAACTTAGCGTTCCATACCACGGGTGCCTGCTTCAGCCCATACAAAGCTTTATCACAGGCGATATACCTTGCTTTCTTCCCGAGAATAGCAAACCCGTGTGGTCTGCTGGACATATACTTCTTCCTTGAGCTCTCCATTTAGAAAAGTCGACTTGACATCCATATGATGAATAGTCCATCCTTCTGGGCAGCTAGAGCAAGCAAAGAAAGTCTCACTTGATTCTATGCGCGCAGCAGGAGCGAACACATCCTCATAATCAACACCCTCTTGTCACAAGAAACCCACGAGCAACAAGCCGAGCCTTGTGCTTGATCATCACATCTCCTTTCTCATCTTTCTTCACTTGTAGACCCATTTTAGAGAAATTGGCCGATGGCCAGCTCGGGAGACACAAGCTCCTAGGTGCCATTGCGCTCAACAGTAGCATAACTCCTCTTTCATTGCTTGCCGCCATGCAGGATCATCTTTGCCTCTACATAAGAAATGGGTTCCCCAGTGGGTGAGGTGGAGCTCTGCGAACAAGCGCTGCTACTGGCCGTGGCGAACTTCCTGCTCCCCGCCCAATATGCCATCTATGGTACGATAAGCGCATGTTGCTAAATCGTTGTGATAAGTATCCAGCCGTTCCTCATCATCTTCCAAGGGAGTCACGTGCTCCACTTGTGGGCTGGCTGGAGCTGGTGATGGTGAAGGCGTTCTGGATGTCTCAGACACCTCTTCTCCTGCATCAAGCACCGATTCTGCTGCTGGGAAAGCTTCAGGTGAGGCAGAATGGGGCTGAGGAGATGAGTGTGACTGCACTGAACCTCCAGCTCGAGGACTTCTTCCTCCCAAGGAAATTCCACCACAAAATCACTACCACCTGCCCCAGACATACCTGCTGCTTTGGTGATGTCCAATCCCAACCTCTTCCTTCATCAAAAACCACATCTCGGTACCGACACGTACACGCCGAGATGCTGGATCAAAACTCGATAGGCTTTTGCTCCTTCAAAGATAGCCAATAAATACTCCACTTCACCACGATCATCAAGTTTCTGAGCTGAGACAAACGGCGAGTATATGCCACACAACCAAACACCTTCGGATGGCCAGCGAACAAGGTGCTCGGCCATGCCATGCTTCATAGGGAGTGACATCACCTAGAGCCTTGGTTGGTGACCGATTCAGAATATGCACAAGCGATCATCACCGCCTCCCCCAAAACTTGGTCGGCATCTGGCGCTTGCTTGAGTAAGGCACGTGCCATAGCCACCACGGTTTGATTTCTCGCGCCCACCACGCCATTCTCATGTGGTGAATGAGGAGCACCATAATGCCTTTTGACTCCTTCATTGGCACAATAAGCGAAGAATTCGCAACAATAAACTCTCATCCATTATCTCATGCGCGAACTTTCGCCACGCCCACTCTCCACCTCTCTCAGCAGCCTTCACCTTCTTGATAGCATCTGCTGCGGCATCCTTAGATGATGAAAGAAAGACGCCCCCACATGAATCGTGTGGCATCATCTACAAGCGCAAGAATATATAGCGATTACACCGAAGTTGCTTGGTGTAATCGGCCCACGAGAGATCACCATGCACCAATTCAAGGTGATCCCGAGCACGATATGTTGTCAGCAGCAGAAATGATCGCCTCCTCTGTTTGGTGGTGACACAAGTGTCACACACTTGCTCAACATGATCGATCTTTGGCATCCCTCTGCCATTTCCTCCTTGCCAAGCCTCCGCAGGAAACCTCAAAATTCAGATGCCCAAAACGCTCATGCCATTGCCACGCCTCCTCATCCTCTAGCAGCAAGAAGACACACATGGTCAGGCTGTCTTCATATCACGATACATACACCCGGTTTGCGCCACGCCTCACCTTGGCCAAGATGGCGACATTACTTTGCGTTCCCAAATCCATGATACTCCATCATCAATCACCACCTTTGAGCCATTCTCATCAAGTTGACCGAGGCTCATGATCGAGTTCTTCAACGCCGGAATGAAATAAACTCCATGAAGAACACGATGCTCACCAGTCTTTGCTTCAAAAACAATTGAGCCAACGCCCTTGATTTCCACCTTGGACGCGTCCCCGAACCGAACCGTGCCTCGAACGTCCGTGTTCAGGTCTGAAAACAGGTCACGCCGCCCAGTCATGTGGTGTGTTGCGCCTGAATCAAGGTACCAGCCGCCAGCCATCTCTTCATCATCTGCTCCCAGATAAGCACGCGCACGTGGCTCAAAGAACTCAACGCGCTGCGCTGTATAGTTGAGCTCCGGCGTGCTCTGTTCCATCTCAATGAAGCCGTGAGACAGGAACAGAGCTGCATCTTCCTCACACTCAGCAAACTGGGCACGCCCTTCATGTCCTCCTTGCTGCCCAGCTTGGTTACAGCCGCCACGGCCTCCTCCACGGTTTCCGCCGCCGCGTCCACCATGATTTCCTCCCCCGCCGCCGCGCTCTGTTCCATCACGGCGCGGCTGGGGACATTCACGCGCCCAATGCCCTTCCTGATGGCAGTTGAGACACGTGTTGGGGCCAACACGGCCGGCGCCATTGCCTTCTCCACGTCCGCCGCCACGGCCAGCACCTCTGCCCCGTCCGCGTCCACCTCCGCGGCTGGGTCCTCCGCCACCGCCGCGCTGGTTCTTGAAACTAGAACCGCCAGCTTCTTCTGCACCTTTCTTCTCCTTCCTCAAACGCGCACGCCACTGCTCCTCAGTGTACAGCAGCTTGCCGTTGATGGACACCGGCTCTGTCACAGCTTGCGCTTCACGGTCATCCACCGCCTTGAGCCTTCCTGTCACCTCTTCAAGCGTGAGCGCCTCGAAGTCGAGGAACTGCTCAATGGCGACGACGATCTGCGCGTACTTGGTCGGCACCGTGCGCAGAAACTTTTCCACAACACGCGCCTCATCGATGTCCCTGTCTCCATGAAGCACCAGCTGCTGGTGCAGAGTTGACAGCCGCAGGGCAAAATCCTCCACCGGCTCGCCAGGCTTGACGTCAATGTTCTCCCACTCCCGACGCAGTCGCTGCAACGTCGCTCGGCGGACCCTGTCCACACCGATACGAGTCGCAGCGATGGCATCCCATGCCTCTTTTGCCGTCGCCTTGTCGAGGAGCGGGAGCCCCAACTCCTTGGGCACAGCAGCGACGATCACCTCCAGAGCTCGCCTGTCGTCGCGAAACTGCACTGGGCCTCCTTCGACAGCTTCCCAGAGGTCGCGCGCCTGCATCCTGAGCTTCATCGTCTGGCTCCACTCATAATAATTGGTCTTGTCCAGCATTGGCCATGATGTGCCGCTGCCGGAATCGCGGTAGACCACCCTGCCTTGCGGCGACTCATAGCGACCGCCGCCACGACGCCTTCGGTCACGCAGTGGTGACTGCGAACGGCGCCTGTCCCGCGGCGGAGTCCGCGGCCGCCGGTTCCTCCGGTCCTCCTCTTCTTCTTCCTCCTCCTCCTCCTCATCTCCCTTCTCTGCTGCTATCTCCGCCCGCAGCTCCTGCGCTGTCCTGGCCGCCGCCTCCGCGGCTGCTGCAGCCTGCTGTGCCGCCTTGACAGCCAGCGCCGCCGCCTCCTCTGCTGCCTTCAGGCGCGCAGCCCGGCCAGAGGGGTCGCCCAGCTCGCCCTCAGTGGCTCCCTTGGTCTTCCTAGCCCGGCGCTCAGAGGAGGTTGACGTCATGGAGAAGATGAGAAGGTGAGAAGGTGTCTAAACTACGCTCTGATACCAATTGTTGGAGTTAACAGAGAAATAATCAGCCAGGGCAACTCTCCCAGGCGACTGCATTGCAATATATAGAGGATAAGTACTGCATTGATTACATACAGCTCACTAGAGCTTTAACTAGACAGAATATCTGCCTGGGTACCCGCACAACTCTTGGGCTACCCAAGGACTTAATGACACAGATTAACTAAAAACTTAAGTACACTAAATGTGCCTGGGAAGCAGGGCTTACAGCTACATAGATTTTGTACACCAACCAACCTTATCTACATCGCGTGTTTTATGTTGATGAAAACACACTAGATCAACGTCAGTACAACTTTTTTCTTTTAAGGACTGGTTGTTATTGTGAACCATTTCATGTGTGTTATATGTTATGTTCGCCATTGATGCCGATTGTACAGGATGTGCTAATTATTGGATTGTTATTAGTTCATTGACGATCACTGGCCTTTTATGCCTTTTTCTTCGTTCGTAGCCTACATACTCAAGTTTTTGTCAAAGGAGTCATCTGTTCTTGCCACCTTAATTGACGATCACCATTTGTTTCGGCCGGCCAAGTGGTCATCTGTTCTTGTCTTTTGCACGACATCTCTATGGAGGAAGCTAAGGGCACATCAAGAAATATAATCTTTAATCTCTCCTTTATTATATCAGACATACTACCAGTATTAGAAATTAAGGTGGCTGCATATAAATTTACAGTTGCTGTAAATGATGCTATTAGATAGCACACTCATGCTTATGAATTAATTAATTAATTAATTAATTAATAATATACACGCATCATACGTTTTGGTATTTTTCTCTTTTATTTCATTCAGATTACCAGTTATCATCCATATACGATGAGTATACATATTTAGGCTCAGAATGGATATCAAATGAAGTGATGCTCCGTTAACAGTTAGATCTCAAATGACCTTTGTCTTGATGTGACAATGACCAGATGTATGACAAAGGAAATTAATAGCTTAAATGCTGGTGTTTGTTCTGACAGTATTACTTTAGATGTGGATTTGCCCTATAGATCTTCCCTATGTTATCATTAACTGTTTTCTGACCCAGTATGGTACTTGTCATCTAATTTGCAATTTCTGTGACCCAAACACCTCTAAATTGGATGGATATTAGATACAAGTGATCTAGAGGTCCGATTACAATTTGACCTGAAATTTTTTGACCGTGTAAAGTACTCGTCATCTAATTTGCTGTTTCTGTGACCCAAACACCTCCAATTACAATTAGACTTGAAGAGGTTTTCTTGTAGCGACACTGTATAGACTTGACCTGATATATGACAGAAAACTTAAAGCTTAAATGTTGGTGTTGTGACTGTACCTGTGGATTTGACCTATAGATCTCCCCAATATTATCGTTAACTTGTCATCTAATTTGTTGTTTCTGTAATCCACAAACACCTCTTTCATTGGATGGATAGTAGATGCATGCAGGGGTTCAGTTAGATCTCAACCGGTCTTTGTTTTAAAAGTTATAATGTATTGACAAGATGCTGGTGTGTGTTCTGAATATAGATGTGGTTTGCTCTATAGATTTTCCTTATGTAACTATGTTGTCATCAACTATTCTGCGATCCAGTAAATATAGTTATCTCTATAAGCGAGGCCAGATATAGGTAGAGGCAGGCCAGAAGCCAGCCCGGGGTGTAGCAAGGAAGGAAGGGATTCCAAAGGAAAACAAATGATTGTCTTTTTGCTTGTCTGCTGCCTGCCTGCCTGCCCAGCTACTAGCTCTACTGGATGGAAGGTGCATGGTTAGTTTCAGCTTGCTAATTAGCTAATAAAGTAACAATGCTTGCTAGCTTTGCTAGGAATATATATTGTTAAGTATTTAATTACTTGCTACCTCCTTGCAAATAAAGCTTGTTTTCTGATTTGTTTACGCGACTAATTAACATAACTTACACTCTACCTGTCGTTGTTGCCCAACAAAACCTTCTGTTTCGTCTGTTTCTCTTCTTCTCCCTCTCTCATTTTGGAGCAAATGTAATGTGCCTTTCTGGATTCATGTCATGTGTCCATGCATAATTATCCAATGCCCACAGGTGCTCATGGGTGGGTGGGGATAGTCTCTAGCCAATTTTTTTTTTCTAGTTTTCACTGGCTTTGACCGCCATACTTGCCTAATAAGCATGCTGACTTATATTGGGTCTACCTGTCAGGACCGCCCTCTCCCCTATCCTCCCCAACTAGGGAGGCTAGCGGGGGCCATGACCCGCCTAACATCTATATTAGGAAGGGCAAAACGTCCTATTATGTTGCCTAAGAATCGACTCTAGGTCGACGCGCTCCGTTCCCTGATTTCTCAGCAACATAATATAGTGAATTGCCACAGTCGATCTTTATATCTACTTTATACCTATGTGTACAATGAAAATGTCGTACCTTAATTTGCCCTGGCCCATATTTTTTTTGTTTCACCACTGACTAGTTGTAGTAATTGCATATATTTTTGTTATCTACCCGCATAAATATGTTGTTCCTTCCGCATATAGATGTTTGCATAATATGACCATGATGCATGGCAATGCAGTAGTACTAGTAGCATGTACGATGCGTGCATGGCAGAGAATGTGAAGCTGCAGCAGCTAGCAAGGTGACGCCAAATCAAAAGCTCAAATAAAACTAGGATCAATCATAATTCAGAAAGGAAGCTTATGTGCAACGAAAGTAAACATGCTTTTTTTTAATTTTTACGAATTTACAAATGAAGCTTATACTTGGGAATATATAAAAGGAATGGAAAGGAAAAACTGTCGGTCTGTAATCTGTGTATGGGGATTTCTGTCAGTTTCTGCCACTCCTGTCAGTATATATTTTCGTTTTCAGAAGTACTAGTACTACTACTCCTGTCAGTATTTTGGCTTTGAATGAATGGTTGTTGCAAGTCTGTACTCTGTACCAGCAGCAGAGTTGAATGTTTGGTAGTTTTGGTACCGTTGCTCAGGCTGCTATCATAGTAGTACTAGTGTTTTTCTTCGGTAAATTCCAGCTGGTATATCCTACTATAATACAGTTAAAAGTCAGCTCTTGCTTCCTGGGATCTGATCAGTGATTAGTACTAGCAGATAATGAGCCGTTAAACAACCGAGCAAATGCTAGTATCCCCTGTGGTCTCTCTCTGGAAGTGCATAAAAGCACTTGCAGACTTGTTGCACACTCTTCTGTCCATCTTGTTTGAGTCATACATCATATGCAGTGGGCCTGCTTTCTCTTTGTTTGACTACTACTACTACAAGTACTACTACTCAAGTACTACTAGTACTAGTACTACTACTGGTACTAGTACTACTACTTATACTACTAGTACTACTACTTCTACCACTAGTACTACTACTTCTACTACCTATACTACTTTTTTTCTTGCATCTCTTAGAACAAGGCACGAAATGTCACGAACATCAAAGAGTGCATCACGATGCCCCGTGAATGATGAGCAACCATCCCATGGAGAGCAAGAACTAGATGACCAGCTTACTCAGGAGCAGTTCGATAACGAGTTAGAAAAGGGTCTAGAAGTGATGCTTACTTAGGAGGACCTTGTCGATGATGAGGATCCAGTGGGGGGAGCCCAGGGAAGAGAAGGCGGAGAGGATGCCAAGGCGAAGAAGGGGATGATGATGACGACACCTCATCAGGGGGATATGTAAGTCCCGAGGATCCTTTCCCACAAGAACACAGACGGAGGCTAACGGAGGACGAGTTGGACAAGGATTTTGATCCGAACGACGAGGTACGGATAAAGCCTTAGTAGCTTGTAAATTTGGCTAATGCTATGACTTTATGTTACCTCTGCTAACACTTTTGACCTGCCAGATACACAGGTCGTCCCTACTCAACCTCTGAAAAGACGACGTCGGCCTCCGGCTCGTCTTGTCGGACAATACGTAGCGGGGCAAAGGAGATCAGAGGAAGGAGCCACATATACTCACAATGAGGCCTCCGCTCCACAACCTTAGGACACAACCACGACTGAGACTGCCCAGCCAAAGAGGAAACGAGGAGGGATTAGAAAGCCAAACCAATATCACGACAAGGCATGCTATGTGATAATGGAGGTCGGGCTAGACGGGCAGATCCTTGAGCCATATACATATAGGGCGAAATTCCATAATCACATCGGGTTTGTAGTTAGAGATAAGTTGAACCCAGCCATCCATGGTTGGAATCTTGTACCTATGAGCCAAAAGGTAGACCTATGGAAGAAGCTGAAGCAGAACTTCAGGTTTCCGGAGGGAACGCACGAGTTGGTACAACAAAATGCTTTTAAGATAATGGGGCAGAGCTTCCGATGTTGGCGGTCGGATCTGAACAAGAACTTTATCGAACAGAAGTTAACTCCTTTCCACGAGTATGGTAAAATAACTCCTAGTCAATGGGAGGAGCTCGTGGCTGAGAAGACTTTAGAGGCATCATTGGCCCTTAGTGCTCGTAACAGCGAGCAGGCGAAGAAGAACCAACACTTCCCTCGTCTAGGCCCCGGTGGCTACGCTGGCAAGCAAGAGGTCTTTAGGAAGATGGACGCAGAGGCTGAAGCTGCCGGGAATACGGAAGTGCCAAAGTTGAAGCCACGCCTTAAACAGTGGATATACGTGAGGAGTGTCGATTCATCCGGTAGTAGCCTCAAGTTTGCTAAGCCAGAGACCGGAGAGGTAGTATCAAAGATACTGAAACTTACTGAAGACAAGGAGAAGGGCGCATTCAACCCTTCCAGAGAGAGGGATGAGCTTACCGTTGCCTTGAGAAACCCCGAGCACACAGGACACACCAGGGGGCTAGGGAAGAGGATGTCCTGGAAGCACGGATTCGTAGAGGAGAGGCACATGTACAAGAAACATGGCAGAGACCGAGAGTCTAATCTTGAGCGCCAAGTGAAGGCTCTAGTTGAAAAGATGTTGGTGGAGAAAGGACTGTCTACGATGGAGCCACAGACAC